CTACAGTGACAGATAGAAACCATTTAAGACAGTTTAAATGCGTAACTTTGGCAATGATAAGCAGTGTTACTCGTTAAAACTTTCCCTAATTGTGTTACTAGTTTTCCAGCTCTTACATGAAGAAGGGCCAGCCGCTGTTCAGGCCGCAGGTGGCTAAATTCATCACTGAGAACAAACTGGATGGCTGCAGATAAAAGAGATTTCAATAAAAGAGAACAAACTGTTGATCTAAAATATATAAAATTAAATAAATGAAGGTAGCATACCGTAAAAAAAGTTACTCTTTCCTGATCCATTTCTGCCAACTGAAATTATGGCAAATTTAGATTAATCTGTACATGACACATGTTGATTTCTAAAATTTTAAAGCTTAAACTAAGATATTAAAATATGTAAGTGGAGCACAAACTCACCGATCACATTATGTTTGGGACTAAAAGGGTCCACGACAGTTTGATCCCTGTAACTTCGGAACCCCTGAATAATAACCTGCAGAGCCCAAATAACATTAAGATCACAGATCACGACAAACATCTCATTAACTGCATCTTTATGGCTGAAAGGTTCAGATAATAAGAGAGCAGTAAAAAGCCCAGTCCGCTGACTGCAGGAGTGTTACAGGTATAACGGGTGCATGCATCGCTACAACAAATCTGATTGTCAATAGCTGAACTGGGCCTTGTCTTAAAAATTGAACTCATATTTGTCATCATTCAGGACAAATCAGGCCCGATGACGGAGTTTAAAATGCCGTTTACAATCCTCATTACGTCCAAACCCGTAATTCGCAAATTAATCTAAATATAACAATGCTGCATCTTTCCGTTGGATGACTTCAAAGCACAGGCTCTCCAAAAGTTAGCCTGCTAGCGTTAGCTTAGCATCTTGACACGTACATGTCAAGATTAAATCAGTTAATTCAAACTAACCATAACAAGTTTACTATATTAGTTGTGTAGATGTAAAGTGTTTTGCTTGGTTCAACGCATTATCATTTAACTCATTTAACATCTATTCATCCTCCAACCTTTAGTAGTCACCGTTAACTAGCATAACAGTGACAGATGATAAACCAAACAAGCCTAGTTAATTTAGCTTACCTGTTTGATGTACATAGCTGCAACACAGAGCGTCCCCTGGGCAGAAATTGGAGATATAATCCCCCTGCACTAACCTGTAGAAGCAGAGGTTTTAATTTCGCAAATTATACGGTAGCATTCGAAATTATTAAAGTATTATCTCGGAAAAGAGAATAACGTGGAAAATGGCGGCGGGGGCGGAATGGAACGGGTCATACCATTATGTATAAACAGCGTAACGACCAGAAAAGGGTAAAAGAAAACGTTGCGTAACTATAGAAATATTTTCATTTAATTATTTAAAATGAGTGGGTTTTTGTAAATTTTCTTTGTTCAATGAGGTGTCACTTTTATAAGTCGAACAAGTCCTCTTCTCCCCATTTCTCGTGAATGTTGGTACATTCCGTCAGTTCTCTGGGCGCCAAAGACAATTGAGTAGTTCAAGTACCTTCCATCCAGTGTGGAAATAACAGTTTCGCCAAATAATTTAATTAACCTTATTAATCATGTTGTGGAAACTAGAGACAGAAAAATCATGTTGGAAAGTGTGATTCATTATTGAGGTAAAAAAAAGGAAAATTTTATGTCTGAATTGTTAAAAAATAGCATAGTAGTCAAAGACAAAATCAACAGTAATTCTTAACCATTAAAAAGTTATAATCTTATTAGGCAGATGCCACTAAAAATTGAATACCAGATGTTAAGGCAATAAATATGAAAAACTGAACGATGAGTGGTTATCATGAGACTGTTTTAACTTGTCAAGAAGGACAACAACTAGGTTATTTTGACTGTAAATTGTGTATTTGACAAACAATAATAATCTTATTTCATTATTTACATCATTATATTTCCCTTAATGTGCTATTGTATAGTGTAACACATTTACAATTTACAGTCAGCTAAACAGCTTAAACTTTATTACTCTTTATTTCATTATGACTGCTTATCTATCATGTTCATGACTTTTTATGATTCCGAAATGTTTTTTTTTTACTTTTTCTTCCAGCAATGTTTTTGTTTCATTCAACTTTATGTTTTTTTTTAGCAGCAACTTTTTTAAACAAGCTCAAACCACAATTTTAAAACGACATTAGCTAATATTGCAGATAAATAATTTTATTTTTTGGAAGAAATTGAATTAGACAAAATTTTAATCCTTTTCTCTTAAAACATGGATTTTTAAAGAAGAGATTAACTGAAATGTAAAGAGCAATTTATTAACGGTATGGGACAGTTGTATAAATATAATACATTTGCAGTGGTCTCTAGTGGGAGTGCATGCCTTGCAAGCTGCACTCGGCCGAGAAAAAAAAACAGAAGTGCCTGGATCAGCACGGAGGAGTTTGCTGGAGTATAGAGTTCTGATTCTGATTCTCAATGGTTTGAATTAGGGCTAGACAATAATTCAAAAACAATAAACATGGATTAATACACGTTTGGTGCAATAGAAAAAAAAAGATCAATAAAAAGTTTCCTTTTTCCATTATAGATCTAGTAACTTCATACTAAAGTCATTTCTTACACCTAACAAATCAAAAACACAGACCTAAGCACGCTCAGTCGCCAACCCTTCCCTCTCAAACCTAAACAGACAGCAATGTGACTTAAACAAGATGTTGCAGTAAGGAGAGGAGGAAGAAATTGATCCAAAAAAAAAAAAGATTACAGTACTTCACCAGTGTGGCAATATTTTCAGTCTTACAAGTCTGACAAAAATAGACAACAGTGGTTTGCAAGATTTGCAGAGCATCAATAAAACCAAGTCAACGCAATCAACTTTTTTTTATCATAAAGTAATGGTGTAATGTATTTTCCACATTTTTTATAGTCTTTGATAATTATTGATATCGATCAATATGTATTTTTGTTTTTATCGATAAGATTTTTTTCTATATCGTCCAGCCCTAGTTTGAATTGATTATCACGATCCGATCCAATTCAATCTGTTCAAATTTGATATTGATCTGGGTTAGTGATTTTACAAACATTATTATTATTATTTTTTAGCTGTTTCCTTAATTAAATGCCTGTAATTCAATGACGCAACATTGGGTGAGTTAGTTCACCGGAGGAAACTGTGTTAACCCTTTCAAACCTAAACCTTAAAATGGCCATCTGGACTTTTGGTTCCTATTTTAGGTGTAAAAAGGGCAAACTATGTAAAAACAATTAAATAAATATTTGGACTTATGAATCAATTCAAGAACTGGAATTTTCATAAGAATCAATTCAGAATGGATTTTTTGATTTTATCAACACAGCACTACAGAACATGGCAGGATTTGGACATTTGTTTCCTGATATTTGAACATCTTGCATCGGACTGGATAACAGCAATGCAACTCCACCACTAACTCCATTTGTTCCGCAACGTGGATGTTTTATCTCCACAAACAACTCAAGCCTGCAAGAGCTTGCTAATGCTAACGATTAGCTTCTACTAGCTTAGACGTTCTCAGCTGTTTCATGGACCCAAAACATCAACCGTCTTCCCCGTTACAAGTCACGATGGATGAGTCCATGAATGTTAAGTGGCAGTGTGACCTAGATCTGTCAGGCTTGTCAAATCCTAGTTTCATTGTCTGTGTTCTATCAGAAGCTAATGCAGGAGATGGGTGTGGGAGACTGTTTTCATGTTCAGCCTGAGTAAAATAACTCAGAGTGACCGATTATAATCAGTAATAATCATTAAAAATGTTTTTTCAGTGTTCCGCTGTCGGTACAGGATCTGCTCGGGTGCAGGATCGGCTCGGGGTCCTTCGACTGCCGATGACGTCACATTACTGCAAATCTACTCGGCTTTCACACATTCGTTTTGGAAAGACATCAGCAGTTTTGCTAATAAATTCTTGTTTGTCAAAACCTAAATGTTTTCTTTATAATTGTAATTTGTTAATAAAACACCATGTTGTCTTTGTTTTGTAAAGAATGTGAAACTTCATAAAACCAACATCGGACTGACAAAAAATAGAACAGTACTTATATGTGAAGCCATATCTGTTTGTATTCATGTGGAGCTCGTCTGTATATTTCCTTAGTTGTTATCTAAATACATTCTTTGACTCAAAATATTGCTTGGTGTCTTTCAATAAAGTTCTTATATTTTATTTTGCCCCATTTCATCAACATCAAGAGCTTTTGAGGGTCACCGTTTATCATTTGCTTATATTTTACATTTCCTTTAGAAATTCAAAATATTTTCGCCAAAAACTGTTGATTTTTGGACTACAGGACTACAACCGCTAAGACTACGACCGCAAATTTGTTCTGACCAATCAAAATCATAACGTGATAACGTCACTTCCGTAAGCTTCATGTTCAGTCAATCAACTACTTTGACGTCATCGGCAGTCGAAGGACTCCGAGCCTATCCTGCACCCGAGCAGATCCTGTACCGACATCGCATCTTTAAAATGTAAAACTACACTAATAAAATATGACTGGACGCAATTGTGAAAATATAATTTTCTCTCATGTTGTCATGCCTTTGCCTCTACTCATAGCTGATAACACTGGTCATGAAACAACATGTCTATGGTATTAGATTGGAATGAGTAAAGAAAATAGTTCAATTGTGAGTTTCCTTAACATATTTTTTCAAACACATTGTGTTTGTGGCAAAATCCCATGCCATATCGTTGAAAATATTTGCAGCTCTATTTTCTGTTTCACCAGATTTGTTTTTGTAGCTTGATGCAACACTGATTGAAGCATTAGTCTAACTTTATTAGTGACTCTTATTTAGGAAAATGAGATCCTTTGAGTCTATTTATGAAGGCCCACTCGGAGCCACTGCAGGTGTCACTGTTGAGTCCCCGTTTACCATTTTACTTTGAAAAGAATTTTAACATATCAATTTTTTTTAAATGACCTGACTTTTCAAAGTTCACACAAAAAAAAATAAAAAATTTAAACAGCTTGACCATTTTTAGTGATGAAAACATTTATTAAACACATTAATTTACACATTATTGGAAAAAATAACAGAATATCATTTTCAAATAAATTAGGTTTAAATGCCTGCCTGTGTTTGTGAATAGGTGAATCAATTGCAATGATAACCTAAGGCATGTATATTGCAGTTTACCACTGTGCTGTGTTGTTTCAGAGCTGCAGTTCAGAAGACGAGGAACCAGCATTGATTTCTGCAACCCAAACATATAACAGGCTTCAAGTTATGTGGGGTGAAGACTCTTCACTACTCCTGCTGCTGATCTCCAGTCCTTTCTGCAGTGCCAGTTTCAACACCAGGCACAGAGAGAGCATCATTTTTTAAAATTTTTTTTATTTTAAATCTTCAAGTAAGACTACAAGCAGTCACGGTTCATTTTTTAAGGCAGTGCAGTTATTGGGCTCAGTTTCAACTGGTGGTGGACCGGGGACTGCAGGCAAGAGGTAGGGAGGGTGAACACGGGCGGCTCAAAGTTTTTGGTGCTGAAGGTGGTGGAAAAGTCACTGGCGAAAAACGAGGCAGACTCCGGAACACAAGGAGTGGCTGGTTCGGGTGTGACAGCGAGAGCTGGGGCATTGGACAGGACCTCAGACTCAAACTGCAGCAGCTGGCCCATGAAGCTGAAGTTCGGCGAAACGACCGCCCGACGCTGCTTGATGATGTCAAAGGCTTCGTCTAGACGCAGCTGCTGGGTCCTCATGATGTAAGCCATGCAGATGGTGGGTGAGCGTGAGATGCCGGCTTCGCAGTGCACCAGAACCTTCCCTCCGGATTGCTTTATGTGATCTGGAACGATAAAAACAGGAATATGTTTTATTGATAATCTTTGATTTTTTTTTACGTCAATCCACATTAAAAAGGTTGCAAGAGCCAAAAGGTGCATTAGATTGCTGTGTCAAAAGTTGGACACTCCTAATCAGTACATTTAGCAAACACCTTGCATGAAGGTAAGGCATTAAGGCCAAACAGGGACACAAAAATACAAACATATTTGTCGTTAGACACAAAAACACATCTGAAACTGGTAGTTACACACAGTACAGCTGCTCTTGAGGTCTCCTCCTCTTGCTCTGCTGTGGGGGTGCTATGCAGCAGCCACGTTTATGTGGCACACGTGTGAGTCCTAATTTAGAGCTGCTGCACTCCTACGTGCTTAACAGCGTGCTCTATCATCTGCACACAAATCTACTTTTGCTCATCGGTTTTATAGGCTCTCTTAAGATGTTTCAGGATTTCATTGATTCTAAGATGCACTGCAAACACCTACACGTCTCATTCAAAAAATGGTCTCGTTTGTAGGTGTAACCTGCGTCCAGCACAGACAACGGTCACCTACTGGTCTGTCTCTATCACAGAAACATCGAGGGCCACTTACGGAGTCAATCTTTGATGAAATGCATAAATTAATCAAGAACTTCTCAAGAAGGTAGTGTGCAAAAAGACAGACAGCTGTGGGTGTTTTAATGACCATCATTTGGCCAGAGATGCTTCAGCCGCTGTTTTCATCCCTAATGTCGATAATATTTATTATCTCCTCTGCAGGATTACATCACTCACTCAGTCAGTCAGTCAGTCAGTCAGTCAGTCGCTGCCCCGATTTACTGATTGATTTTAATGCAACCAATGTGGTTCTAAACTGAGTGTCTAATGGTGAAGCTGATGAATTTTGGAGGCCTTATCTGAATGTGGGCTAAACCTGGTCCTGAAACACTTAGCTCCTTTATGCAATAGACGAGCTTAGGCAGAAACCGCACCTCCAAACAATACACAATACCGACAATAGCTGCCACCCATCAGCCAGTCTGCTCGTGGGTGAGCTTTGCTCTCAGTTCTGCCTGGTTATAATGATCCTTTTGTGTATACCTTTGCTGCTACTGCTGCTATTATCCTACACACTCTCTTTTCCTCTGCACAGCATTTGCTAGCCCTGCTGACCCCAGGTCCATCACTAATCTCCTACATGCAAACAAACATGTCCTCATATTGTTCAGCTAGTATTTATCCTCCTCCCTATAATCATAAATAACAGTGTGTGTGTGTCAGTCAGCCCTGAAACTCCTCCAACAGTAAACACAAACAGCTCACCTAGTTGTCACAGTGACTGACCCCGCCCGGACTGGTGTGTGATTTGGCGTGAGAGGCGATGGCAGCACTGGAGCGTCTTTAACAACTGCAGCTTATTGAGAATGCTGCTGCTAGAGTGTTAACAAAAACCAAGATAACCGAGCACATCACTCCTGTTCTCAAATCTCTTCGCTAGCTACCAGCAAGCTACAGAACTGATCATCAGTGCTTCACCAGTTTACAAATCTCTCAATGGCATGGAGCCAGAATACAATCAGAGATCCTAGTTTATGCTTCTGCGTCAGCTCCACAAGGAACAGACAAGGAACGCGATGACAGCGACGATTTGCTCTCCGACTTCTTCATCTCCTCGGGAGCAATCCCCCGCCAGGACAACAGAGGGCATATTGCTGTTCTTGGGCATTCTGTCATGTATCCGGTCCATTTACTATTGTGTTTATTTATTTATTTGTATTTCAGAGACTTTTTACCACAGACAAATTTGTCCCTCTTTCTCCTCCACTACTTCATGCGCTAGATATCTTCAGCTTTCTTTGTGTTTTTGAGGGCGCGATGGCAGTGCTTTTGACAAAAGTGGCATCCTGACCAATCACAAGCTTGCGTTTAGAAGAGTGGGCTCGACTCCGTCTGTCCTCGCGAGCCTGCTGGAGAGCCGACAAATGGACGGATAATGGCGCTGCGTGTCTCCGCACCGAAGCAGATGCAGAAGCATAAACTAGACTTTAGGAAGCAGTCATCTTGTAGGACCGCAGGTCAGAACCAAACAGGGTCAAGCTGCTTTTAGCTAAAATGCTGCACATGGCCTCAAGGCCCACCTTTTAATGAAGCCGTCACGTTATTTTAATGTTCATGCTATTCTCGCTAACGGAAAGCACGATGATTTGCCTCTGTGTGTGAGATGTGTCGTACAAATGAAGCTACCTTGCGGGGTGAGGGAAGGAGATCTGAAGGAAACGAGGTAAGTGAGCAAATCCTGACAGACAGAGGAGACCGGATGCGGTGGAGGATTGAAGGCTGTCATCAAGTTAAACTGATTACGGTTCCTTACTCTGTTTGTGAATGGCAGCAGGTTTTTATAAAAAGGACTCCCGTTTAGAGAAGCTTTTATTTAAAAATAGCCGTCTCCCTAACTTAGCTTGTGTATTTTGATGACTTGGATAAGGTGATTTTATAAATACGCCAAAGCAAAACAGCAAGAAGAGACACGCTGTGCGAGTGTTCCCTTAAACTCACCTATAAATTCAATGGCCTCCTGGAAGTGAGAGCTGATGTCGGCCATGTGGCTGTCCTCCACCGGGATCCACTTGTAATCAAAGTGGCCCTTGGCCGGCTGCAGGTCCCTGCGTGACACGTTGAGCAAGGCCGTGATGTGAAGGTCACTGAGATAGTCCTGTCTAGAGGCGTGGTAGGCACTACCGAGGTAGAGGAAAGGCAGGATCTCTACAGGTTTACCCTGGTGTGCCGAGAGAGAGAGAGAGAGAGGGGGGGGGGGGGGGGGGATAGAGAAAACATGAGTCAAATGCGTTTGAGATCTGGAACACATGGATCTCTGACAAGACAAAACACCAGAGCGCCAGCCTTGATGCATCTGAGAAAAAGCACCCATTGTCCTAAACTCTGCATCTGTGGAGCATTAAGTTCATTTAAGTGCACGGGAAAATGGAGGAATGGCTCTCCCCTTTTATTAAAAGCCATAGGTGTCACAGTGTCAGCCACCAGCTTAAATGTATTTTCAGATCTGAAGCTGCTTCATGCTTTCTATTTGCAGGTGACAGAGGAAAGGTCAGAGATGAAAGCCTGTTTTCTGTGGGGTCTCACAGAGTGCTCTCTTTCTTTCTTTTTGCGCCACATATAAAAACAGGTCTGGGAAGGTCGGAGAATATCCTTTCATTTAAGATTTTGATGATTGCTCTCAGCGTTTTTAAGAGTTAAAACTGAAACATCACTGTTTCAGAGGCGCTGGCTGCGTGGGAGAGGCTGAGGGAGACATCAGGGTGTTTCCATACCTGATCGTAATCTGGTTTGTGGTGAGAAAGCTTGTCGCTGTTGACTCTTTTCTCGGTTTCAGTTCCGCTCTGGTCAGTGGTTTTCACCTCAGTGCAAAGTTCAGGGTATTGAGAGTGGAAGTTTTCGTATCCTCCTGAGAGAAGCAGGAAACACAAAGTCACGAATACACATTTTTAAATAGAATCACTTGTTTTCTACAACACACAGCGGCGCGCGCGTCTTGTGAAACGGTAAAGCGGGATTATACCATTTATAACCTGATTATAGACGCGTAATTAACTACAGGAGCGCGCACTAATCCGATTAAGGCCAATTTCCTGAGAACGGTCAAGTGGCACGCGGAGGAGGTATCGCTACATTATCACAGTCACCCACAAAATAACTTTTTTTAAATCTATAAAGGAATTTTTTACACGAGGGGTTAAGATTTCTACATCTTTTCTCCTAAATCAACATGAGTTTAGCTGCGTTTCTCCAGCACTGACTCATCCGCTCCACTGACGCACGCAGAAAAATCTCTCCCGAAACACTTTAATGACAATCATATTAGACCATAGTCTTGAAACGTGTTATTGTAAATTAGATACATAAATAACACTGTATATAATATAATTAGGCTATATTTTCCCACATTTTGTGAAAATATCTTTTCTTTGACCTCTGAAACAAAAACTGGAGAATTCAACAATTCGATTTGAAACCAATCTTAACCGAGTGAATTATTACACCTTTATAATAAATTAGGCACATTCTGAATTTTCTTAACTGTCACCTTTGAGGAAACAGATGCTTGTCCCGCTCGCCAGATGTGACAAGGTGTTGATGACTATTTGCGCTACACTGTCCTTTTTCAGTTTCTGCCAGTGGGACGTCCGATCATCAAGCGCTACAATGGCCGATATGCTCCCTTCCTTGAGCCGATACAGGGCTTTCTCATCCGGGATGACGAACTGCAGAGGCACCGGTCCGCCCCGGGACCTCCGGACCACCACAGAGTTCAGGTTGACGTTGACAGAACCTTTAATACTGGAGTTCGTGAAGGAGAAATAAGGTCGACAATCCACAATAAGGCAGCTTCCGCACTCCTTCCTGATGATTTTCCTCAGCCGCCGGCAGTCTATGCTGGAGACTTTCATTTCTGATGAAGAGTTGTTGTTATTGCCTAAAAGAGAATAAAGTGGATTCGTCCGGAAAGCGAGCGAGCGAAAAGCCCTGCGTGCGTCTGTGACTACATTTCCTCTAAGGGGATTCCGGCCGAGGAGTTTTATGTGAATGGGACCTCCGGCGCGTCACGTCACGAACCATATATGGACATTGACGCTGCGAGCTCGCAGGAAAAACCCGCCCACGTCCATGACTCGGCTGTGACTCCGCCCGCGGGCGGCTCTGGTAAATAAAGGGAAGAAACCCGGAAAGGGAAGAAACCCGGTCTGTCTGACTGCAGCCAGACTTTTCACTGCTCCTGTGTTTAAGGACCAGCGGCAGCTGATATGATCCATGAACACAACCTGTTAGCAATACAAAACAAACACAGACATGTTGTTTGTTGTGGGACTAAATGTGATTTAGTGTACCCAACACAGAAAAAAGATTCCCAAGTTGAGAATACACTGTAACATCAAAGATAAACTAACTAACTAATGGATAGTTGAATAAATACATGAACAACTAAAATAAATATGCTAAGATTGGTAAACAAATCAGACATTGTACATCAGGGCTGCATTTTAGTTCCTTCTATCTTTTTGAAACATGAAATGAGCTTAGCTGAGAATGAATAAATAAAGTTGGAATGAAAAGTTGAACAACAACTTGCATTTCAGCAATATATGATATGATATGATGGGTTGACGATGGCACAGGATTAAGTTCTTGCCCCAAAAACGGAACGTTGCAGGTTTGAGCCCCGCTCAGTTTGTCGCTGTCATTGTGTCCTTGGGCAAGACATGTTACCCCCCTCGCCTGCTGGTGGTGTTCGGAGGGACCGGTTTTGCCAGTGCTCGCCTCCGTCATTGTGCCACAGGACCGCTGTGGCTACATTGTAGCTCATCCACATGTGTGCGAATGTGTGTGTGAATGGGTGAATGACTGATTGTGTTGTAAAGAGCTTTGAGGGGTTCCAGTACTCTAGAAGGTGCTATATCAAATACAGGCCATTTACCATTATATTATATTATATTATATTATGCTGTGTTATTCATTCTGCTGTTGTCTGATGGGGTGCAGGCAGTTCTGACCAAGACAAGAGGAGGCTGAACAAACTAGTTTAAAATGCTAGCTTGGTTCTGGGCTATGCACTGGATTCAGTGGAGGAGATGTGTGAAAGGTGGATGGTGGTGAAGAGGACCTCCATCTTGGAAAACCCCTCCCACCCACAGCATTCCACTGTGGAGGCCACGGACAGCTCCTTTAGTGGCAAACTGAGACATCCCAAATGTAAAATAGAGCATTACCGTAGGTCATTCATCCCCTCTGCAGTAAGAGTGTATACTGGCATTATCCTGTGACATCAGTGCAATGTAATGATTCAAATTACATGTTATTTAATAAGCCATAAGACAAAAGATTCCATAGTAAATATGAAATCAACCTTATGGATCTGTGAGGTTATTTTAACCAGAAGATTGGAACTTTTTTTATTGCAGGGATTAGATAACAGCTTCGTATTAATTCAGAGACAACAGAAGAGAGAGAGTCGAGTTTAAAAGTTTAAAAATTTATTACTAAAAAAATTAAACTAGACTAACTTTAACACTAAATGTGTGGTGTAACTAAGGTGAATGAGACGGAGAATGGTGTGATGTGGAATGTTGCTCAGAACCAGCAAATCCGAAGAAATGATTAGTTCTGATGGGAACTGAAGGTGATGTCTTCGCGTTAAGCTTTGGTTAGGAGATTCATAAACACATTCAACGCCATTTGTCGGTCCACATACCCTGAGCGGAAGTCCCCGTCTAGATCAGGAGGTGTAGAGGTCCAGCTTGACCTTGTGGAGCCGGAGCTTGTAGAAGCAGCCGACCACCAGTCTTGAGATACTCCCGGGTCACAACGATTTTGTTGGCATCTAGTGAGACCCAAACCTGGGTCTGTTGTTTCAGCTTTTATTCTGAAAGGGACTGTTTGCAGCAGTTGGAACAGCAACAGATTTTATCCAGCCTGTCGTTGGTTCTTTTGCCTGAAGAGGAAAGTTACGGATTGGCCACTCTGACAACTTCTCTGGAACGCTTTGAACTGGCGTTGTCACATTGAGAGGACTGTTTGGACCCAAAATGCAGATACCCAGGATGACAAGAGGCAGGAGTTGATATAAAGAAATCCTTTTATTGTAGGATGAGTCCAAAAATAAAAATAAATCCAAAAGGCAGGAAATGATCAGGAGATCCAAAAACACCAGAAGAACAGGCAGACTGACAGAATAAATTACGCTGACAAACAACAATGAACCGACAAGAGAATGAGAAACAGACAGGGCTTTATAGACGGGGGCATAATAGGAGGCAGATGAGCTGCAGGTGTGTGGGGAGAGAACCAGGTGAAGGCACTAACTAATCAGGGAGGAGGAGCAGGAAGGAGCAGGGGAGGACACCGGACTTGACTGGAGAAGAACACACACACACACACACACACACACACACACACACACACACACACACACACACACACACACACACACACACACACACACACACACACACACACACACACACACACACACACAAAGCTGGGGAATGTCATACACACACACCGAGCTGGGGAGAAAGAGGCTGTAGCTACAACTGGAGGGGCTGGGGATGACCTGAAAGGCTACAAACAGAAGGCACATAAATAAGATGCAGACAAAGGACACATGAGGGTGCTAAGAGACACAAAAGGGGAATCTAAAGAGGGATGGAGGACATTAGGAGACACATGGGGAAAGACGCAGACTCAGACCATGACAGGCGTTAGAGATGACGTGGGCATAGTTTTATTCTTCGGATGTTTTGGTTTATGGTCGAATGAAAAGTTGACAGATTTACCAAACACCACCAAAACCCCGCCTCCATCAGATCTGGCAGATTCTGATTGGATCAGTGAAAGCATTGTGTCATGTATTTTAACGCTACATGAGATCAGTCCTAGTGGAAACATTTAAAGTCTTATTACTTCTTATATTCTATAGGATTATAATAACGTAATTAATATTTTGATTTCACAGATTGTTCACATCTTATTTATTGACTAAGACTTTGTTTGATTAGCTTTATTAAAATAGAGTTCTTTGATTTACTAAAAGGAGAGAGTCCTTTCTTCCTTCTTCTCTTGAGCTGGAAAGAAGCAGTTTATAACAAATGCATGAGACCTTGAGGCCATATCTCATGCAGACTAGTTCTGTGTCAGAGGAGAGGGGGAAAATGACTTTTGGTTCAACATTTGTGCAATTCTGGATGTACATTACAGTGTGTGTGTTTATGCTGCATATTTCTGGAAATCCAAGTTTTCTTTTTATTCTTTGTTTTTAGTGGTTGAAGGTTACAGTAATAGTTTATTGCTATTGTGTGTTTACCTGTTCTCTTATTATTTTCTTCTTCATCTTCTCTAAGTGTTTGTGCTGCTGTAACAAGTGAATTTTCCCACTGTGGGATCAACGCATTCTATTCTATTCTATTCTATTCTATTCTATTCTATTCTATTCTATTCTATTCTATTATGGGATTGTTACCCTTTCTCTGTCTTTTGAAGTGATATACTTAACCCCTTAAATTTCCAGGTTTAATTAACACAATGGGGTTTTGTCCCATGGGTGGGATGCTGGAATGCTAAAGGGTTAAAGTGGTCCTGAATAAAACAATAGTATTTAGCTCCAGAAATGAAGATCAAACAGATAAGCTAATGGCTATTCACAGTGGGGTCAGCTAAAATCTATCTAATCTAATCCCAAACATTAAGCAGTTCATAGGCAAACAATACTTTAAAGCTGTTACACCACCATAAATTTCATGATACCTTGTCATTTATGTAGAGTTTGGTGGCTATTAACGTGAAGCTAGCCTCTGTGGCTCTCTTTAGTGGATTTTCACATTAATTCTGTCAGAAAACCACAACATGTGAAAGTTAAAGATATTCAATTGTAAAACAAAAAATTGCATAGAAAAATAAGAGTTTTTTGCCATTAGAATAATTGTAAGCCCACTTTGCAACAAGCTCCTTCATGACTCGCGGTTAGCTTGTTAGTGTAAGCAGAACAAATCTCTGTTTCTCAAAACTAAGGCTGTTGAAAGAGCTCTTTCTCTCTCATTTCTGCACTTTTAATTTACTACACGACTTGTAATGTTGATAAATGTCTTGATTTTATTAGTTTATTGATGCTGACCTGAGAATCACATTTAAATTAAACAGAGCTGCCGTAGATGTAAATTTCTAAAACCCAGATATTTATGAAAGGCTTTTGAATAATCTTCCTTGTACTCAGTGGCGTGGTGAATTTCTGGAAGAGATCAGATGACGTAGCTGACCAAAGCAACTTCTAACTTCCGCCCAGTCCCATGTATAGCCCAGTGAACCAACATGACATCCCTCTGCATGCATAAGCCTAATCCTCCAAATGAATTAACAGGTTTAAACGCCGTTTTTCCTGCACGAACATGACACAAAATCAGTTAGTGTGACACACACTCAGAGCTTGGGAGTGTGTTTGGATGTAGATGTATGAGTGTTTAAGATGAATGTGACTCCTAACCCAACAGAAGCCACGCCAAATTCATCATCGGTGATGCCTGAAGCAAAGGAGAAATGTCCTAAACATGGTCGAAATTTGTTTTTATCAATCCACACAAAACAACGCATGTTTGAAAGGCGTTACATCATGCTGTGTCTGCAGCATGACTGTGCATGAATGATAACTGGGACAAAAAACACACACACACACAGAGAGAGAGAGAGAGAGAGAGAGAGAGAGAGAGAGAGAGAGAGAGAGAGAGAGAGAGAGAGAGAGAGAGAGAGAGAGAGAGAGAGAGAGAGAGAGAGAGAGAGAGAGAGAGAGAGGGAGAGAGAGAGAGAGAGATGAATTATAAAAAAAACAAATTATACCAAACAAAGTAGTTGAAATCCCTTTGATCTGATTGGTCTACGGATCAGCTGGAGGATTAGAGGTGTCAGCAGGCAGTGTGCCATATGGTCTGGTCTAATTTGGGCCTGTGACATCACCATAGAGCGGGAAGGCCCACCATCCATTTCTGAGCCCTGGTTCCATTGATCATGAACAAAAATC